GCTTGGTGGGTGTGGCTTGGTAGGTGTGGCTTGGTGGGTGTGGCTTGATGGGCATGGCTTGGTGGGCATGGCTTGGTGGGCATGGCTTGGTGGGTGTGGCTTGATGGGTGTGGCTTGGTAGGTGTGGCTTGGTGGGTGTGGCTTGGTGGTGTGGCAAGGGAAGGTTACTGCAAAATCCCCCTTCCCTCCCCATCCCACTAACCTGTTTTCCAGCTCCGTTCTCCTGGGCAGGGCAACCAAAGGAGACCCAGCCAATCAGCTGGGAGTCAATGGGAGGCAGAGAAGAGACGGGGTTGGCGGGGCCAGTCAGGGGTGGGATTGGCCGGTTCTCCGAACTACTCAAAATTTCCGCTACCGGTTCTTCCAGAACTGGTCAGAACCTGCTGAATACCACCTCTGGCCAAAATTCACCCCCCTGTTTTGGTGCAGGAGGCTGACTAGGCCACACCCACCCAGCAACTGAGCCGAGAACCCATTGCTAAAACTTTTGAAGCCGACCCCTGGTAGATAGTCCAAAGCTTCATGACAAGGGTACCTTTCTTCTTCTTGTCCGTGGAGATCCTGAATTGTCCATGTTGCAGTTATCCCCAAAGGTGTTTCCCAAAAAGCAACTGGACTTTCCATGAAAACACTCTCATCCAAGAAGTTCTGAAGTTCTCACCCGAGGACTGAAGAAGCTTCTTGGATGAGGAGGGGAAAGCACTTTGGGGGATCCCTCTTTGACAAAGTGGCTCACGTTCTTCTGATTTTGGTGGCTAATGGGCCTGGCCTTCCTCCTCCTCCTCCTCCTCCTCCTCCTCCTCCTCCTCCTCCTCCTCCTCCTCCTCTTCTTCTTCCTCTTCCTCTCCTTCTCCTTCTCCTCCTCCTCCTCCTCCTCCTACTACTACTACTACTACTACTACTACTACACCTCTTCTTCTTCTTCTTCTTCTTCTTCTTCTTCTTCTTCTTCTTCTTCTTCTTCTTCTTCTTCTTCTTCTTCTTCTTCTTCTTCTTCTTCTTCTTCTCCTCCTCCTCCTCCTCCTCCTCCTCCTCCTCCTCCTCCTCCTTCTCCTCCTTCTCCTTCTCCTTCTCCTTCTCCTTCTCCTTCTCCTTCTCCTTCTCCTCCTTCCCCTTCTCCTTCTCCTTCTTCTTCTTCCATGACTTGCAGGTGGCTGGTTGGTTATGAGGAGAACAAGCAGAAGACGGATGTGCATTACAGGTCCCTGGGAGGTGAAGGCAACTTCAACTGGAGGTTCATCTTCCCCTTTGATTATCTCCCTGCTGAGCAGGTCTGCTCCGTGGCGAAGAAGGTGAGCATCTGGAAAGGCTGAGGTGGTCCTTGTTGGGAGGTCCACAGAGGCTCAAAAGCAGCTGTGATGGATGGGTCTGGGGGAGTGTTTTGACCCAAACCCTTTTCCAATAAAATGAACACGAATCGAAGGGAACAGAAACCTTTTAATGATTCTTATGAATCCCCGGTTAAAAGACTGCTGCAAACTAATTAACTTTGATAAGCATGAGCCTCACCAAAACTGTGCAAGGCTGCCAAGAATAACAGATAAGAAATAGTTTACAACACAAGAGTCTTCAAATGCCAACTGTAATGTCCACAAGGCTGAGTTTCAAAACGTCTTTGCTTCCTGCAAAGAACGTCCGATTCACAGCTGACTTTTATCTTCTTGAAGGAGGGGCCATTACCTTGCAGCCTTACTCCCGAGTCGCCCGTGCTGCTGCAGCTGCTCTTTCCTGCGAGCAGCCTTGCACGCACTTGGCACAGGCTCCTCAGAAACCTCCTCATCGCAGCTGCCAGACCCCACAATCTCTGAAGGCAGCAGTCCACTCCCGAATGGTCCTGGCCCCTCGTCTGACTCCTCACTCTCTTCAACCGTCCTCACCTGTTGCCGGCTAACCACAACAGGGAGTCAGGTGGTTGGAGTTTGTGATAAGTTCCCAAGCAGTTATCTGCGCACAACTTGTTCTTTTTCGAATTTTATTTGGGCTCCGGTCTTTGGATTGGAATGTTAATTTGTGAGGATCGCAAGGAAGAAATTAGGGTCCTCGTGCATTGTTCTCTACATGATAGAAGATAATATTTGTAGCTTAGGGTTGAACGGTGGGGTCTCTGAGCTTGGCTGTTTTCTTGCAGACATTTCATGACCCAAGCAGGCAACACCGTCAGTGTTAGAAGAGGGTGGGATTTGCTCTCTGTTTATATACTACAAGTGTGGATAGAAGAGAATCTTTGTATCTTAGGGTTGAACTGTGACAACCTTGATGCTCTCTGAGTTGGGTGGTTTTCCTGCAGACATTTCATGACCCAACTAGATAACGTTATCCATACTAGAAGAAAGTGGGGTTTGGAAAGAGGAGGAGGAGGAAGAGGAGGAGAATAAGCAAGAAGAGGAGGACAACTGTGGGGTCCTTGGTGCTGAGCTTAGTGGTTTTCTTGCAGACGTTCCATGACCCAACTAGAGAACCTCATCAGGGCTAGAAGGGAGTGAGTGGGAGAGGAGGAGGAGGAGGAAGAGGAGGAGGAGAAGAAGAGAAGAAGGAGGAGAAGAGGAGGAGGAAGCCTGAGGGGTTCTCGGTGCTCTTTGAGCCGGGTGGTTTTCCTGCAGACATTTCATGACCCAACTAGAGAACCTCATCAGGGCTAGAAGGGAGTGGGGTTTGTAGAGAGGAGGAGGAAGAGGAACTGTGGAGTTCTTGATGCTCTCAGAGCTTGGTGGCTTTCCTGCAGACATTTCATGACCCAATGAGATAACATCATCAGGGAATGAGGAAGGGAGTGAGGTTTGATCTCTCTACAGAGAGTCTGCACTGCAACACAGAGGCATCTAATCTAGAAATAAGGAGAAATTTCATGCCAGAAGTTGTGGGTGCTCCAACCCTGGAGGTTTTCAAGAAGAAATTGGACAGCCATTTGTCCAGAATGGCATAAAAGTCTCCCGCCATGGGTGTGTGTGTGGGGGGGTTGGACTAGATGACCTCCAAGGTCCCTCCCAACTCTGTTATTGTGTACTCTGTTACGTAATGGTGAACAACACTGTGGCCTTGCTTGCAATGACTTCTTCTCTGTGTTCACATGCAGGAACATTTCTGGAGCTTGGACAAGACCGAAAATAAAGTCGCACCCCAGCTGGTCCTTCAGATCTGGGACAATGACAAATTCTCCTTTGATGATTACCTGGGTGAGTGATAAATCCAGGGAGGCCAATTCTAGATTTTTTTCCATTCTGTCCTATAAATACCTTGCTGCTTGATTCGCCTCTGCGTTCTTCTCTCCTACTTTAATGTGGTTGCATATTTGAGGTTATCTTGGGGAACTGGTGTTGTGGTTCGCCGGCAGCCTGTGCAGACGGCAGCGGAATCGGACAGTGGGGAAGAAAGGGGATCAGTCAGGGAGTTTGGGGGGGGGGGACTCGGACGAGGGTCCTGCATCCGATGCAGAGATGAGGCCAGGACCATCTGGGAGTGGGGTGCTGACTCTGGAGCCTCTGGAGTCTGGCAGCAGCGAGGCCGAGGAACAAGGGGAGCCTGTTCCCAGTGCGTGTATGCACAGAGCTGCTAGAAGGCGAGAGCAGCTGAAACAAAACGGGCAACTCGAGAACAAGGCTGGGAGGTGATTGCCCCTCCCATAAGGGATAAAGGACAGGCAAAGGTAGAAAAACCTTTGCAGGAAGCAAGGTCATTCATTTTGTTCGGATTAATCCTTGAAGCTCTGTGTGGTCTTTGTACTTCGGTTGGGTTTTTTATAATTCATGTGGCACTTTAGTTGTTGGCAGCAATTCAAAGGAGAGAAAGGTGGGTGCTTATCTCGAGGGACTGTTTGGGACTCCTTACCGTCTGGAAATGAAAATAATTCCCAGCGTTGCAATAAAACAAGAGTTGTTTTAACTAAACGGGGGCTTAATTACGGTCTTGGGAAGCCTTGGTCAGAACAACCGGCACCGGGGAATTCATGCGCAGCTCTCAAGTCATAGAAGAGAAGGAAAACTTGATGAGGTTGCGGGACAGTATTGGAATCCCTCCCTATGCAGGGAGTCTATCCACATCTACAGGAGCTAGTGCACCTTGGGAAAAGGGAAGAGTGGGACCAATGGGGCCTGGGACAAAAGGGCCAAGCCTGAGGGTGACCCATGGCATTCCACGGGCTTGGCACAGGTCAACAGTCTTTTTGAGGGGCCCTGAAAGGCCACAAGAAGGCAGCCGGCAGCCCTGGGTCTTTTGACGGGGTGCAAAGATTGAATTCTGGGCATCCAAGTTGCTTTCAAGAAATGCCCAGCCTCCCCCAGCTAAACCTGGATAGGTAGCCTTCCAGGAAAAGTTTGGCTTCTTTCTTTTCTTTTTTCTTTTCTCTTCTTTCTTCTTCCTCCCTTGATCCCTCACTCCCTTGCTTGCTTGCTTCCCTTTCCTTGCCTTTTTTTCCTTTCCTTTTTCCTTCCTTTCTTTCTTTCTTTCTTTCTTTCTTTCTTTCTTTCTTTCTTTCTTTCTTTCTTTCTTTCTTTCTTTCTTTCTTTCTTTCTTCTTCCTCCCTTGCTCCCTCACTCCCTGGCTTCCTTCTCTTTCTTTCTTTCTTTCTTTCTTTCTTTCTTTCTTTCTTTCTTTCTTTCTTTCTTTCTTTCTTTCTTTCTTCTTCCCTTGCTCCCTCACTCCCTGGCTTCCTTCCTTCTCTTTCTTTCTTTCTTTCTTTCTTTCTTTCTTTCTTTCTTTCTTTCTTTCTTTCTTTCTTTCTTTCTTCCTTCCTTCCTTCCTTCCTTCCTTCCTTCCTTCCTTCCTTCCTTCCTTCCTTTCTTTTTCTTTCTTTCTTATTTCTTTCTTTCTTATTTCTTTCTTCTTCTTCCCTCCCTCCCTTCCTTCTTATACAGCCTGCTTTCCTTCTTTCCTTCCTTCCTCCTTCCCTCCCTCCCTCCTGAAGTCTTCCTTCACCTTCTCCTTCTCCTCTTTCTCCTCCTCCTCCTCCTCTTCCTCTTCCTTCTCCTGCCTTCCTTCCTTCCTTCCCTCCCTCCCTCCCTCCCTCCCTCTGCAAGAGACCTGGCTATTCCTCCCCTTTTCTTCGCAGTTTTCACTCCTCTTTTTTTTCCGGGCGTACCAGGCTCCATCCAGTTGGACCTCAACTGCATGCCAAAGCCCAGCAAGACCGCCGAAAAATGCCACTTGGACCTCCTAGAGAGCCGGGAGAGAGACGTCTCGCTGTTTGAGCAGAAGACAGTCAAGGGTTGGTGGCCATGCCTGACTGAGCAGGAAGGCACGAAAGCCCTGGCGGTAAGTCGTCTCACCCCGCTTGTCCTGGGAGGGAAAGCATGGCATAGGATGTGATGATGACCCAGGATGTGTCATCACAAAAGCAACACAGTCAAATAAGTAAGAAAAGCCCCTTTAAGGCCTCCAACTTTGCCCCCAATGTCCAGTTACGAAAACCTCTCCCAAGAACAGTACGGCAGATCCCAGAGGATCAGACAATCATGCATGCCGGAAGTTCACCATCACGGACCTAGAGGGTGGCAAACATCTTAATCGGTGGTGGTGGGATTCAAAAATATGTTTTACTACCGGTTCTGTGGGCGTGGCTTGGTGGGCGTGGCAGGGGAAGGATACTGCAAAATCCCCCTTCCCTCCCCACCCCACTAGCCTGCTTTCCAGCTCTGTTCTCCTGTCCAGGGCAACCAAAGGAGACCCAGCCGATCAGCTGGGACTCAATGGGAGGCAGAGAAGAGATCGGGGTTCCTGTGGCCAGTCAGAGGTGGGATTGGCCGGTTCTCCGAATGACTCAATATTTCCCTAATATTCCCCTAATCATCTTTGTTGCACTTCTCGGCACGCATTTCCAGAGTCTCAAGACCTTTTACTTTTTTTAAATATTGCGGCGACCAAAAACTGGATGCAGTATTCCAGAGGTGGAATCTTATCAAGGCATTATAAAGTGGTATTTTGTATGGGATCTTGAGTCTGTCCCTCTATCGAAAGGGCTAGGATGTTGTTTGTCTAGGTTGCTACGTAACACTCTGAAGAAGTGGAGGATAGAAGTCAGGGTCCATCAGTCCAGAGCAGCAACACCCCAGTGGTGGGATTACTACCGGTTCTGTGGGCGTGGCTTGGTGGGTGTGGCATGGCTTGGTGGGTGTGGCTGGGTGGGCATGGAAGGGGAAGGGTACCGCAAAATCCCCATTCCCTCCCCGCTCCTGGGGGAAGGACATACTGCAAAATCCCCCTTCCCTCCCCACCCCACTAACCTGCTTTCCAGCTCTGTTCTCCTGTGCAGGGCAACCAAAGGAGACCCAGCCGATCAGCTGGGACTCAACGGGAGGCAGAGAAGAGATGGGGTTGGCGGGGACAGTCCGAGGTGTGGGATTGGCCGGTTCTCTGAACGACTCAAAATTTCCGGTTCTCCAGAACCAGTCAGAACCCGGCTGAATCCCACCTCTGGTCTGAATGTTCAGTGAAGCAGTGGACTTACACTCCAGTCGTGGCTTGTTGCCTGCTTAATGGGACAGAGACCCGGGGAGGGTTGAAAAAGTAAAAATGGCAGGCATGACTGTGTGATTGGAGAGCTGCCCTTTTTCCAGGTCCCACGTGCTGCAGGAAAGCGGGGGGGGGAGAAACCATGACAACATCAAAGAAGTCTCAAGTCTGCCCCAATTATGGGTTAGGGAATCAAAGGAAAGCAACATCAGAAGCTCAATTTTTCAGTTCCAAGAGGTTTCTGGGCCATGCTTGGCTTGTGGTCGACTGACAGCAGACGTGAGGTCTAGAATGGGATGACTTCGAAGGAATATCTAGACTTTAGAGGCCAGTGGCAGGCCGGGCTCCCCAAATTCCACTCCCGTTTGCAAGAATTGCAAAAAGGCCCTGAGATTTTTCTAGGCAAACGCCTTCCTCTCCCTGCCTTCGTTCTGGAGAAACTTTGAAGGCTCCAGAAAGCAGGTTCAGGAATGATGTCTAGGGGGATATCTGAGAAGATGCTCGCAAGGTCACGTATAGTATGTTGTCCAAAGGTTCTGTTCCGTGGTGGGATTCAAATATTTTACTATTGGTTCTCTGGGTGTGGCTTGGTGGGAGTGGCAGGGGAAGGATACTGCAAAATTCCCCTTCCCTTCCCACCCCACCAACCTGCTTTCCAGCTCCGTTCTCCTGTGCAGGGCAACCAAAGGAGACCCAGCCAATCAGCGGGACTTTGGAGGCAGAGAATAGATGGGGTTGGTGGGGCCAGTCAGAGGTGGGATTGGCCAGTTCTCCAAACTACTCAAAATTTCCGCTACTGGTTCTCCAGGACTGGTCAGAACCTGCTGAATCCCGCCTCTGTTGGAAATGTCCATGATTCAGACTCAGGGTCTCAGGAGTTGCTTCACTGGGCTTCTGCTGGGCTTCTGAGACCTCCTTAGAAAGGAGAATCTTTGGAACTCAGTGTTGGATGGTGGGCTTCTCGGTAGTTTCTGAACTGGGTGGTTTTCTTGCAGACGTTTCATGACCCAGCTTGGGAGCATCATCCGTGCTAGAAGAGAGTGGGATTTGTGGAAAGGAGGAGGAGGATTTGTGGGGTCTTTGGTGCTCCCTGAGCTTGGTGTTTTTCTTGCAGACGTTTCCTGACCCAACTAGGTTACATCATCAGTGCTAGGAGGAAGTAAGCAGGAGAGGAGGAGGAGGAAGAGGAGGAGGAGGAGGACTGTGGGGTTCAGTCAGAGGTGGCATTTGCTGGTTTTTTCAAACCACTCAAAATAACTGCCGGAACCCCAACACCGAGAGGATAAAGAAGAGAAATGCGCAGGGACGGATGGAAGGGCTGATCCTGTGCTTTTCTTTCTCCTCTCAGCTGATCGTGGGAGCTTTTATTTTTTTACTACCAGTTCGACTGAACCGGGATGAACCGGTAGCATTTCACCACCGCTCCAGGTCTTCCAATGTGGCCTCACTCACCTCTTTCTTTCACTCCCTTTTGCAGGGCAAGTTGGAGATGACGCTGGAGATCATCAATGAACAAGAGCATGAAGAACGGCCAGCTGGACTGGGCCGGGATGAACCCAATATGAACCCCAAGCTAGAAGACCCAAAGTAAGAGCCGCCAAGAGAAGTGCAAGGCTTGCTTTGGTTTGATTTCTCTTCCTCTTTGGAGTCCGCTGCAGAGAACGAGAAGAATTTTTAAGGGGAATCGGTGAAGGAACTATGGGTTCCGATACTGCGGCCTCTCACATATAGCCATTCTTGGGGAAGAGGGGGAAATTGAAAAAGAAAAGAATACATGCCAATAATATCACAGGGTCTAAGGCAGGGGTGTCCAACCTTGGCCCACTTTAAGACTGGTGGACTTCAACTCCCAGAATTCCCCAGAAAACAAAGCTGGCTAGGGAATTCTGGGAGCTGAAGTCCACCAGTCTTAAAATTGCAGACTGGGGGATTCTGGGAGCTGAAGTCCACAAATCTTAAATTTGCCGAGATTGGAGGTCTTAGTGGAGGGGATGCCAACCTTTTGGACCTCAGGGACCACCAAACTCATAATTTTAGATCCCAGGGACCATTAACCGGTTCTGTGGGCATGGCCTAATGTGTGGGTGTGGCTTGGTGGTCATGTGACTGGCTGGGCATGGCTTGTATGTAAATATTATCAATATTTTCCTAAATATTGAATTTTTTATTTAAAAAAAGAGCAACTTTTACCCCAAATCAGGCAAAGCAGGCAGATTGAGTTGCTCAAGGAATCACAGATTCATTCAGAGATCTATATCTGCCGTTGGCTAGCTCAGTCTGTCACATAAAATTTGCTTGCGAGCAAACTCATCAAATTTGCTAGCAAGCAAACTCACAAAATTAACTCACAACACGCCATGCATGTAGATATTGGAATTTTTTATTTAAAAAAGAGCAACTTTTACCCAAAATCATGCGGAGCAGGCAGGCAGATTAAGTTGCTCACAGAATCATTCAGTGATCTATCTATCTGCCATCGGCTAGCTCAGTCTCTCAAATTTGCTTGCCCTGAGTCTGCACTGAATTTACTCGCAAGCAAAACTTTTCTCACGGGCCGTAGTCCACCGGTTGGCAACCGCTGGTCTAAGGTGTTCTTGACTTTCCTTTCCAGAGGAATCAGAGACATGGGGTAGGAAGGCCTCCCTGCTGTGTATAAAAGCCAAGCTTGGCACCTTGGCCATAACTGGTCCATCGTGGGCCCGTGATGGGGTTGCAGCTCCTATGCCGGGTGATCTTAACTTCCTTCCCCCACTGAGATGTTCTTGGTTGCAGGCGCCCGGAGACCTCCTTCCTGTGGTTCACCTCACCCTACAAGACCTTGAAGTACATCTTGTGGAGAAGGTTCAAGTGGGTCTTTCTCATCTTCCTCCTTGTCTTCATTCTGTTGCTCTTCCTGGGGATCTTCATCTACGCCTTCCCGGTAAGATCGCGGGGCTTTCGAACTTCATCCCTTCTTCTCTCTTCCTTCCATTTCTTCCTCCCTTTTCTCTCCTCTGGGCTCTTTCTTGGGCTCTTTCTTTCATCTTCTTCTCAAACCTGTCTTCTCCTGGGGCTTTGGGACTGGAGTCTTAGTGGACAACCAGCTACATATGAGCCAGCCATGTACAGTGGCAACCGAGATTGCTAATGCAATCTTAAGTTGCGTTAACAGAGGGATACAATCCAGATCAAGGGAGGTACTAATACCATTCTATAAAGCCTTAGTAAGACCACACCTAGAGTACTGCATCCAGTTTTGGTCACCACACTCTAAAAAAAGATGTTGAGACTCTAGAAAAAGTACAGAGAAGAGCAACCAGGATGATCAGGGGACTGGAGGCTAAAACATATGAAGAACGGTTACAGGAACTGGGCCTGGCTAGTCTAGAGAAGAGAAGGATCAAGGGAGACAGGATAGCATCTTCCAATATTTGAGGGGCTGCCACAGAGAGGAGGAAGGGGGTCAAGCTATTTTCCAAGGCACCCGAAGGCCAGACTAAGGAATAATGGATGAAACTGACCAAGGAGAGATTCAACCTGGAAATAAGGAGGAATTTTCTGACAGTGAGAACAATCAACCACTGGAACAGAAATTGCCTTTGGAAGTTGTGGGAGCTTTACCCCTGGAAGCTTTTAAGAAGATATTGGACTGCCATTTGTCAGAAATGGTGTAGGGTCTCCTGCTTGGGCAGAGGGGGTTGGACTAGATGACCTACAAGGTCCTTTCCAACTCTGTTAATCTAAATCTAATCTGAAACCCCAACGGAAGCCTCTTAAAATCCACACACTCTGCTGGCAAAGGTTTTCGTTCCGTCCAAGAAGTTGGACAGGAAATATTTTCAAAAATATACCTATACTTAATTGATTTATGTAAATCGGAAGAGATTGCTGCTCAGGGCCTTGGCTGGGGTGAGAGTAGATGACCTTCAAAGTATCCCTTCGACAGCTTTGCGGCTCTCGTCCAACGTTACGGAACCATTTCTTGGTCCCCGCTCCCCATATTTTTAAGCAGAGGCGCCCAGCCAGGGTCGTCCTTGCTCAGGGTAGGGGGGGGAGGGTCAACTCTTCAGAGCCCCTCGAAGGACGGAGGGGCTCGGCGCTGCGGTTGGGACGGAGCAGGAGAGCAATGGAAACCCCGTGTATGAAAAGTTTGGGCAGCCCGACTCCCCGTTCCTGGAACGCAAGCGAGGCGTGTCCTGGAATTTCTCTCCTTTAGAAGAGGTCTCTCATTCCCTTCCCCACCACCGCAAATTCTGAGGTTGCTGACTTGAATGTCTCACCCTAAATCTGGGTCTTTGCGCTCTTCTGTTCCACATTACTCTTTGGCAACCCCACGAGTGGGGAGGAGAGGGGCAGGGCAGGGGGAGGGAGGGAAGGAGGGAGGGGTCTTGTGGAGAAGGGGAGACCCCAGAACGCAGCAGCGTTAGACGGCTTTGTGAATTCGTCTCACAAATGATTCCGGTTCCAGGATCTGTGGGGTTGCCCCAAAGAAGAGTTGGGGGTGTGTGGGGTCAACTTATCCTCCAAGGTACCTTGAAAGTAGGAGAAGAAACGATGGATGAAAATTAATCAAAGAGAGAATCAAACTTAGAACTAAGGAGAAATTTCCTGACGGTTAAAACAGTTAATCAGAGGAACAACTTTGCCTCCGGAAGTTGCGAATGCTCCAACCCTGGAAGTGTTTAAGAAGAGGCTGCATAACCTTTTGTCTCCTGCTTGATCAGGGGGCTGGACTAGAAGTCCTCCAAGGGCCCTTCCGGTTCTGCTGTTCTGTCATTCTGATTGCAGATGGGAAACGGAAGCATTAGAGAATAATTTCTTTTATATATATATAAATATAGTTTATTAATTTTTACAATTAAAACCAATCACAATACATACACAAATAAGCAAAAGAAAAAAAAGAGAAAGAAGAGAGGAGAGGAAGAGAGGGAAAGAATTTTGAGAAAAGAAAGAAAAAGAAAGGGGGAAGAAAGAAAGAAAGAAAGAAAGAAAGAAAGAAAGAAAGAAAGAAGTTACAAAGTAAAAAGTATTCTTATTTTAACAGTTTGCAAGATCTTCTTTCATTTTCATAACCTTAACTTGTGTCATATAACCACACCTGTTTTTAACTTATATCGCTACCTTGTTATTATAGAATAATTTCTAAGACATTAATCAGTCCACCA